ATTTAATTAAAATAATTTTGTTTTAATAGTACTAAGTTTATTTAAAAAAATAAAGATTTTTTGAGAAAGAGAATATACAGAGTAATTTTTTATATATGTATATATACTTAATGTCCGTTGTTTGTTTTTTTCTCATCTTGCCATTTAATTATATAAATTAAATATTGTTGATGCATCTCTTTCTGCGTTGAAACTACATATTATATTTGAGATTTTCGCATCCGAAAAATAACTGATGGAAAACCTACTTACGCATCGAAGCGAGTTTTGCCAAAGCCCCGAGTCTCGCCCGGTTGGCGAAAATAGCAATTGGAGCTTGTAAACAAATATCGTATTAATACATTGTGACGTGCGCACATGCGTTTTGTGTTATCACTGCAGTTGGAAAATTGCAATTTAACACAACATGAATACACATATGCGTATCAAAACGAATTTCTCCAGGTTTTTTTCAATAATTGTCGAAACTAATACAAATGGCGTTTTAATTTCTGTTCTAATCGATTAAAAAAGCACTTTTTTTATGTGCAAATTTTATGCACAGCGTAATATACGTGTTATAAATTTTTCGGATACTATAATGCCATTACGTTTTGCTCTCTCTCTCTTTTTCTCTCTCTCTCTCTCTTTCTCTCTCTCTTTCTTTATCGAGCAATAAATAGAACTATAAACACTTGTATCTCTCTCAATAAACGCTTGCATTAGATTAATTTTCAATGTCAAAGTTATTATAATGTCAATGTCATAGTACATAGTTACATATACACATACATAGTTTTATTATGTAAAGTTTTAATGGCTCGAAGTGGACACTAGAAGAAATTACCTACTTTGTTGCCTTTTTTTTATACAACATTTTACAAAAAAACCTAGAGCAATCTCACTTTTTACATACTAATTTTACCTTTAGAGCTCAAGCATCGAGTAGAGTCACAAGGGCTGTTGAGGACATTTTGTTCATTCTGCCGCAATGTCGAACAGAGTTCTTTAAAACGCCTCTTCGGATTCAGCGCGGCTAACATAAAGTGTGGAATAATTTCTTACCGACTATATAGGCAATGCACAAACATCAGCTGAATTTAAACACAGACTCTAATGCGCGAGAATCGCGCATTTGATTAACAATTGTCATGACAGTAGCTAATATCGCTTACTGATCGCTTTAAAATACTGAACTTATTTCTGAGCTATCTTTCATTTCTCTCATTATTAGAATGTCTTATATTTTATGCTTACTATTATTATTGTTATTGCGTATTTTTATTTTTATTTTTTTTTTGCGTTTGAGGGGATGTGCTTAAAAGTATTTAATAAATGAGACTTTCTCTTTCTCTCTCTCTCTTAATTATTTATTTATTGTAATAAAAAAGAGAAATTATTAGAATTATATTTGCCCGTAAATAATTTTTATTTGCGAATTATCGTAAATCTTCATAATAGATGGATATCGTCTAATCTTCTCCGTCCAATGGGGGGTCTCGAGATTCATGTAATTGTGTAATTTCACGTCAATGATAACGTGTATTCTGCTATATCGAACGCGAGCGTACGTTCCGTTGCGACGCAAACCGGAAATCGGAGTGCAGCAATCTAGCGTGCAATGTAGTTTCAATTCGTGATTTTGCGATAGCTTCGTTTATTTACATCTTGTTTGTTATGCAATCATCTTCGGACACAGAAATTTCTTTAGAATTCTCTAGATTCTCTAGATTGAAAAATTCTTATATATAATTTTTTTTTAAATGGGTAAATAAAATTGAATATGTGTAACACGAAAATAATGATTGCTCTGATTCGAATATATCACTCGCGTGATTAGTCTTAAACGTTTGACAGGCAGGAAGAAAGGACGGCTATCTCGCGCAAGACCCTTAAATCCACTTATGATCAAATTAATAAAACGATCTCATGTCGAGAGAGAAAGAGAGAGTGACACGTTTTTCGGCGCATATAAAATGCATGAAAATCTAAACACTGATATTTGCAAGCAGATTTATGATCACTATCGTTAATCGACATCAATCTTATTAAATAAATACAAGTAATGCGGCGATGAAATTGCACGAGATATGATGAAAGGACGTGCGAGGTAGAATAAAAGGGATTGTTATAGCGATAAAGTTGATCTCTAATCCTTCTCACACGCCATGTTAAATCGCGTTAAGTGTGTGAAACCGATTGAAAATCCTGCGACAATAATGAGTCAGTCTCATGTGAGTCACGAAGTAAAACATTATTGCCCCTAAATATTTTGATTGCCAAACTAGCGGCGAACAAACGTTTAATCATGCGATTATTATGCCAATTCATGCGTCGCGCTGCACGAACTCATAAGCGACGATAAACAAAGCTCAATAAAGCCTCGTAGATCATTCTTTCGAAATTTTATATACAGACTATTTTACAGATTTAAATTATGGATTTAATTGAAGAGAAGTTTATCTGAAAATAATCATGTAATATATCATATAATTATCAATAATACATAAACATATTTACGCAAATAAATATATGTAATAGAATGTGACAAACAATGAATGAATTGCAAAGGCCAATAAATCATAAAGGAATGGACGGAATCAATTAATTTGAGATATGAATTTGTGAAATATCTCTTCGCTTTTTTTCTCGTGGAAAATTCACTTTGTAACAATTACACTTATATAATGTAATCGACACCGGAGGCAGATTAATATTTTTCATTGCGTATCAATTATACGGTTATCAATCATACGCGCGGAGTATTCGCGTGGAATCTGCTGGAACAAGCTCGATGGTTCATTTGCATTTGGCTGCGTAATTACTGTTATTAACGTTGAGAAACGAGTTTTGCGCCAGAAGCGAGTTCACCGACAGCTCGTCGAACTAACGAAAGAGAGAGAGAGAGAGAGAATTTATGCTACTGTAAATTCCTTTTCGTACACGGATTATTCAAACAACTATCCAGATATTTGGTCTAATAAAAATATCATTGAATGAATTATGTATGTCTGTGGCAGCCCGTGACGTAGACTTTAATTGAAGCTACAGCAGAATTTATGCTACTGTAAATTCGTACACGGAAAAAAAATGCTGTTGCTTCAATTAAAGTCTACGTCACGGGCTGCCACAGACATACATAGTTCATTCAATATTTTGAATATTTTTTTATTTCTAATATTTTTATTAGACCAAATATCTGGATTATTCAAACAACTATCCAGATATTTGGTCTAATAAAAATATCATTGAATGAATTATGTATGTCTGTGGCAGCCCGTGACGTAGACTTTAATTGAAGCTACAGCATTTTTTTCCCGTGTATTTCCTTTTTTTTTTATCGGAGATATGCAAATAGAGTTCCTAATAATACAAAGCGGTCTGTAATTACATATTATTATCATTTTTTAAACTATATTGATATTATAACACATGGTGAAATCATTTAATAATATTGTTTTACAGTTGCCATTTTATATTCTGACGTACACGATGATCACGCAAACGAAGCTATGGTCGAAGATTTTTCTCTCCGGCAACAAAAAAGATGTAAGTCCTTACTTAAATTTGTATTACGATTACGCGATTGGCGACGCCGCAATAAAGCACGCTTACGATGATACCGCATTCTCTCGCGGCTGGAATTGAGTCGTGGAATGCGCATTATGGAATTTTGATATTTTGTTGCAAGAGTAGCAAATGTCAAATAGCGCATAAATATAAGAAGAGAATAGAATATAAGAAAGATAGATTTTTTTAATATTAGATATTTATTTAATCGAACAGACGGAACAAAGCAATACACTCACACACATGCAATTTTTTCGCTAAAATTTTTCTTCTTAGAAAACGTCGATAAAATGCAAGGTATTGTCGGCACGAAATAATAACTATTTATTGTTAGTCAGACGAAGATGGTATGTCGAGCGCTTTTTGGGCCGATTACACAATCATGTGAACGCGATAACAATATATTTAAGAACCAAATATTTATAATTAAATAAAATAAAAATAATAGAGAAATAATTAATATAATAAATAATATGAGAAAGGCAATAAAATAAATAATATAGTACCAAATATATAATATTCTTTACTCTCAAATGTATAATATTTGAGAGTAAAAATGTATGTAGGTAAATAATATAATAACTAAGATATATATATATAAGTAATAACTTATTACAAAATGAAATAATAAATAGTTATAAATAGAAAGCTGATATATGGACAAGATATTTATTTTTTACTTTTTCTATATATCTCTCAGCCCTAAATACTGTAATCGATGCGAATAATTATTGCGTGAACATTACTTGCACGAACAATGGACTTATATTGAACGAGACCAACGAAGGGGAGACGATTTACAAATAAATAAATGGATAAATACCCACGACGAAGGCGATCGATAGATCAACCTTCTCGATCCTCGTCTTTTGTTTGCGCACAATACCGCAGAATTTTTTAAGCCAACATGCGACTGTAACAACACATTCTGTTTCCTTTCGTTTCCGTCCTACGACTTTAATGCTCTTTTTCTTGACTTTAACGATCTTCCGCAAAATAACCAATGAGCAATATTAACATATTGATATAATTTTTAAGATCCATCAAGATTGATATATATATATATATATTCAATAATTTATTATTTTATTTATTATTTCTTTATCCATTTGTTTTAATAAGAAGAAACATGAGTTCTTATAATTATATTAAAATCGCAAACGTGTTTAACATTTGTAGATCTATAAAATCAGATGTCTCGAAAGCGATATTTCTTTTGGAGTGGAAGGAAATATCATGGATCGTTCATATTTAAATTCCATTATTCTATTCGGAAACGAATTTCCATGCGACGAAATCGTACGACAATACATAAGTATCATAGCTCCGGGCGCACGTGAACCTTGATCCGACCTTCGGGAAGTGTATGGACCTCCTTCTCGCGATCCGTATGATAATGACTAATAACAGAGACACATCATTATTTGAATGATTTATTCGTCTGCGAGCAGTTCGTCGCGCGATTTTTGCGTCTAAATGTACTTTGTATGGTATATGCGATATATATACAATATTCATTCTTTGATTGAACGCACCAGATGAGAAATGATAACGCATCCGTGTATGATAAGTCATCCGTGTCATCGCATCGCTATTTATTATCATTCTTGTGTCAGACTTGCGGAAGATACTTGCATTCAACACGTGCCGAATCATGTATCGAAACAATGAAAAATCCGTTGCTGCCTTTCCTTTAATACAAATGAAAATTTCTTTATATCAAAAAAGAGAAATAATTTTTTAAATTACTTTCCACGGAAAAAGCATGTTATATTTATGTAATATCTTGATATCTCTATTATAAGAATATATATTGAATTTGTAATGTAATGTAAACTAAATGTGTGTAATGTAATGTAATGTACTTCTTTTTTGTAGAAATATTTTGGAGAGAAGCATAAAATTTGCTTCGAATTCGAAATAATTAAAACTGGCTATATTATTTATATATGATAAAATCAGTCGACGTTAATCGTCATCACTGTCTTCGCAAGATACTATCTGCATTAATTACTGATTTTAACTCTAATTGCACTTCTATAATTTCAAGTTAATCGTTTGAATTATATAACGATGATGTTCATGTAACGTAACGATGTTAATGTACGTTTACGTATTACATAAGGCGAAATGTGTCGATAAGAACAATTTACACAGAATCTAGATTTTTTTTGTCAGCTTTGAAATTTAATATCTCACTGTGTAATCGATTATTTCAATACGTGTTCGCGGAAGTTGATTGACATTTCAAACACGTAATGTTCCGAAAGAAAGATGTACATAATTCTAATCGCTTCATTACCGAGAACAAATTGTAAGAGGAATATCTCCACACTTACATATCTATAATATGTGTGTGTATGTATGTGTACATATATATATGTCTACACACATTAATAATTATTATATTTAATTTATCTTTCTAGCAAGCAATTTGAAATTTTAAATGTTTTATAGCAAGAGACAGTGACAAAATAAATCTCGATTTATTCAAATTTATTAATTATCAAATTATCACTGAATTAATCTATTCTTATTAATCTATTGAATTACAATAATGATATTTAATTATAATACACTTTAATTAAATACATTTAATTAATTAAATTATATTATCGTAATAATTAATCGTAACGTTATCATACAAATACATCTACGTATACAGTACGTACGAGTATTTCATTAGACGATTTGACATTATTTTCCAGATTCTCGCGGGTCTGGCCGCACATTCCGGTCAGATTTCCGTAGGATTGGCTCAAGGATATAGCGCGATCCTGATCCCCAGGCTCTTCGAATCAAATTTCGCGGACCAGTCGCAGGCCTCATGGATCGCCGCCCTCGGCGTCGTCTCGAATCCGCTCGGCGCCATTGTCGCCGGATTTTGCTCCGAATTATTCGGCCGCAGATCTGCGATCGTCCTAGCAACGCTTCCGCACGTCGCCGGTTGGCTACTGATTGCGCTATCGAAGAACGTGCCGATGTTGTATGCCGGTAGATTCATTAGCGGTATCGGCAGCGGCATGGCCAACGGACTTTATCTTTACGTCAGCGAGGTACATACGAATGCAAATGCTGGGAAATGCGTTCTTGATAATTACGATCAAGCGTAATTGCGATACTCTTTTTGTTAATAAAAAGATTTCCCTTTTTGTAACAGTAATTTAGTAGTATTAATCATTTTAATAATTTGTTTATAATGGTGATTTTTGAACAGTTTTGCGCGATGATTATTATTATTTAATTGTTTATTTATTTATTATTTATTATTTTATTTTTACAAAGATTAGATGTATTGAAAATAAATATATTTTCTTTCAGACAGCTGCGCCACATCAAAGAGCTTGGCTCGCGAGTTGCGGACCGATCCTCGTCTCCTTGGGAGTTTTGATTGTGTACACCTTGGGTGCCATCACAACATGGCAAAAGGCGGCAGCTATTAGCATTGGACCAGCGATTCTGTCGCTCGCATTAACGCGGTAATTACTTTCTTTACACAGTATATATATATCAATCTTTTTTTTTTTTTTTTTAGAAATTACAAAACATAAAAATCATAAGAGTTTACACATACACAAAAATTTTACACACGCACACATATACAAAGCCAAAATATTTTAAATATTTCCATCAAAAATTAACAATTAACAAAATTTTCTTAATTACGAGCGATCGTTAAACATGAGATTCACTTCTCCAGGATGCTCCCAGAAACTCCCGTCTGGCTGGTCTCGAGAGGTCGAACGAACGAGGCTAAAGAGGCTCTTCTGTGGTTACGTGGGCCCGGCTTCAACGTCGATAAAGAGTACCAAGAGCTCCGCGATGCGAACTCGAAACGGAAGGAAAAGGAGGAGAGCCTATTGCGGGCGTTGCATATGCCCAACGTGTGGAAACCGTTCCTGATATTGCTCATCTTCTTCACGCTCCAACAACTGTCCGGAATTTATGTAATTCTATTTTATGCCGTGAGCGTACTCGAAGACATCGGCGTAGATATAAACGAGTATGCGGCCAGTGTCGGCATAGGTGTCATCAGGCTCTTTGCATCGATCCTCGGCGCCGGACTGGCCAACATCTTCGGCAGGAAGAGCCTAGCCTTCGTTAGCGGTTTCGGAATGGCTATCACGGCTATGGGAATCGCTCTTTCCCTCAGGTTCGTATTTTCAATCTTCTCTAACAGTCAGCTTTTATCATCTCTTTCTGTATTACACATGATTTAATTTTTAATTTAATTCTGTCTCTTATTCATTCATTAGTCTTGCTCTTCGAAAACTCTAGCTATCCTTGAAAGTAATATTTTCGCTATAATTTGCCAGGTTCGAACTTCCATCGTGGATACCACTATTCTGCATTGGGACTCATGTAGGTGCGTCTATGATTGGCTTCCTCACATTACCGTGGGTCATGACCTCGGAGTTGTATCCGTTAAGATTCAGGGGCAGCTTGGGCGGTCTTACGACCAGCATCGTGCAAATACTGACGTTCGCCACAATAAAAATGTATCCGGATCTAAATACAATTGTCGGTCTGGAGATTACGATGTGGATATTCGGCGCGGCCGGTCTATTAGGTGCAATCTTCGCCCTAACGATATTGCCGGAGACTCGAGGACGTAGTCTCGACGATATCGAAATGAAGTTCTCCCGCAAGTCGAATAGCTCAACAAACGCTTGCAAGGCTTTTTCCAACGTGTGGTCGCAGCCGAAGAACATTACCCTCAAGCGATTCGTATCGATCTCGGAGGACAAGCAATCGAATATCGTCACGAACGCGTATACTTACGACAACTTCTGTCTGGAGTTGTCGCCAGAAAATCTGGAAAAAAATACCAAAATCCTCGAGAAAGAACCAACTCAGGATCAACGAGTTGTAACCAGTATCGCAATCGAACACGCGTATATTTAATAATAAGAAATTCGAAGAAACTTTTTTTTACATGGAGAAATAATTTGTATGTGATTTTACGATATGTTAAGTTATATATATATATATATATATATATCTTTCTCTCTCTCTCTCTTTATTCAAAACGAGTATATTTATTTATTTTGTACTAGTAACAAGCCGAGAGTTACGTTGATTCTTGTGATTTTAATTATGTAATATAAAAATATTGCTTCGTATTTTATATTTCATCGAAAAATGTTCCTTTAGTATTATGAACATTCCTAAAAGTGTGGTATAAAAGATAAATTGCATAAGTTTTTATAATAATTATATAAACACAGAATACACATGTTTTCTGTAAACTTATGTAAATATGTGTATGTTAGAGACATATCTTTTTGGTATAATTTCCTTAATTTGCTATTATTTAATTTCTAATTATGCATTTTTTTGCATAGATTTTTTGTACAAATGTTTTTGTATATACATACAGTGTTTATATAAGTTTTATTTACATGATAAGTTGTAAATATATAAATTAATAATATATACTATTTGTATTGTATATTTCTTACATAACAAAATGACAAAAGTTTTACTTTATCAAGAAATACATCTTCATTATATCGCGGTAATTCCGCTATCGATTCTTCAAGCGGTGATCTTGTAGCTAAACATGTTTGCCTAATACCAATGCGCGTTGCCGACAGCCGATCTTTAAAAATTAACTAATTTATACGGCAGTTGATGAGATATTCATCAGCTGCCGGTACGCCTCACACATCCCTATCACGTCATAACCGCAGAGCTCACCTCCTGCGAAATCATAGTATTCTATTACAGGCACACGAATTTTCGTGCCTTTTCATTCTCCGTTGCATACTGCGACGAATACAATCGCCAATTGTATCAGCTGACCATCTACTCGCTCGCGTGCTCCCCGGATACCCGTTCGTCGAACCTCGTGAATTTCCGTCGTTACGACCGAGCGACCGCGTCACCAACTCGCTCGTATGCGCCTCTGATAATTCATCATCGAAACTTGTGAATTTCCGTCGTTTCGGGACCGACCGGCTTGCCATCCCTCTACTCGTGAGTGTGCTGCCTTGATACCCGTTCGTTAATTCTCGGGAATTTCCGTCGTTTCCACCGACGAGTAAGTCGCCTAATCACGCGTCGATTCCTGTTATCCCGGTCACAAGGCACGAATATTGCCTCCGTCTCGTGGCGCGCGCCATGACAATCACCTCCTCGCTCGCGTGCTCTCCTGATAGCCGGTCGTCATTTCTCGTGAATTTCCGTCGTTTCGAGACCGACGCTCGCCGACGCAGCTCCTCGCCGTTTCTGCTCCTTTGATCGCAAAACACGAAATTCGACCCTTTCCGTTACCGGTCCAAAGTTAGAGGAATTCCGTTCCTCGACTTCGCCGGTCGAGACTCGAGACACTTCGACCCTTTCGCGCGGCCGACCATCGAGAACGAACGGGGGTCATCGCAATGCTGGTCGAAGGCCTCTCGCTCGATATCCTCGCCTAATAACAAGCCGTCAGTCTCGACTCTTTCCAATCGCGATGGCGTAGACGTTCACTTTTCTCTTTCGCGCGTCGATAGAATGTCGGAGCGAATAATCGTCGTCCGACTCTCTTGTCTCGATATTTTTCACGGATTTAATTTTATTAAAAAAATAAAAATTAGTTTTATAATCTCTACTTAGTAATTCAAAAAACTGCGAGAGAGATACATATATTTATATATATTATTGAAATAAATTTTTATTCACAATTCGATTGAAATTAAAAATTCCGAAAGGGATGTGTAAGGAATTACGATTCGGAGACGTAAATCGGGTAAATCACTGTGAGCCACGTGTAAAAATAAAACACAATGATGTATATTGATTACAAATGTTCGCGATACAGATGCATGATATCCGCGGCGTGGAATCCCTTAAATCCCTATGACATAATTTTCATGTAATATACGATATTACATTTTGCAAAACCTATCATATATGCGAGAAGAGAAGGGCATATAGAAAAAATAATTTTTTTCGATGTATATATATATATATATGTATATATATACACATATGTATATATATGCACATGACAGCGATGAAGTTTCGCGTGTCTCTGAGAGAGCAATAACATGCCATGTGTTCAGCTCTTTTCTCGCTTTCTTTATACAACAGTCACAAGTACAAAATCATGTACAAATCGGAGATCGCCATTTTCCAGTATATCAACAATTTCATCAATTACATAATTATTACGTTTAAGCAATATATACATATAGAAAATCGTATAATTCATCGCGCGAAGACGATATGTACAATAAAACTGCCCAATATCGTTTTCGCGCGATAATTTTCTTTGATATTGATCACATTAGCCTTTTTAAAAATTGTCAATACATACCCTCGCCTAAAGATCACGTTTATAATCTATTAAATGCAAAAATTATGAGAAAATTTGTCTGTAAGTACAAGAATAATAAAAAAAAATTGTTACATCAATTTTCATCACATAACATTTTGATCACACACATCACATCATACATAAATGGATGACGCTTACTTTTATAGAAATTATATTTAGGCGATTTTACTTTTTATTTATTTATTTTATATTTACGAATTGATAATGTAAAATTAAATGTAAGAGCCTTCAGCATATATCTGAATACTATGATTTTCGATAAAATGCAGGTATGAATTGTGTGATTTGTGACATTACTATGGCAATCAAAGTGTTAATGGCAAAACACGGAGAATAGACATGAAACACACTTAAAAATTAAGCACTGTGGTTCCAACATATTCCAATTCAATTTCATTACACACCTCTTTTACTTACAAGCTCTACTTTCTCATTCGACGTACAATTACAATCAGGCAGTTTAGGCTTTACTACAAATGTCTAAGAAAATAGCTTAGATACTCGTTCCTCTTCTTCTCTTGTCGCGTCTTATTTTATTTGTGTACAATTCTTCCAGAAAGAAAGAAAGAGAGAGAGAGAGAGAAAAAAATTCGCGGTCCGCTCCGATATATTTACAACGGGACGTTGGTATAATTAAATATTCATACTTTCGGCATTTTTTCTTACTAGAATTCGTAATCCTACGCGCTTTTCTTATACGGCAAACCAAATCAAATCACAAAATCTTCGTGAATACACGTAATCTCTAAATTATTTAATGTTCAAGTATACTTAAAAACGCGCGAAAAAGTTAATGTGAAATCAATTAACGAAAGATATTGTGTAAACAAATTAAATACAATTAATGTAGCGCAGAACATGCGCCGAGATTTTCAACTGAGAATACTGCTCTAAAAATGGAAGACATCTGTCTAAATAATTAAAATCGACCTATAGATTAGTAAATGCAATTGATTGAGCATTATCTATATATTCGCATTCGCATTGACATCTAATTGCTTGCCGTAAAGGGCAAATTGCGCTTTTTTGATTTGTTATATCTATTCGACCGCAAAATTAATAATACGCCGCTGTTCTATCGCTCTTGAATCTACAAATGCATTCGTAGATCTATTTAACACGACTATTATTTTTTATTATTACTTATGTTTGTTAATAACTATTATTATTTATTATTATTTATGTTCGTTAGCGATTATTATCATTATTATTATTATTCTCCGTGGTCCAATCGCGATTGATCGATCGTGAGAGAATTCTATTATGTATACGCGTTATGTCACTTGGGAAATTATGCAGAAACGTATCGTTCGAAATGTTTAGAGAAAGTTTATTATGTGCATTTATTATACTAATTTAGAAGTTGTAGGCTATGAGATGGAAACTGCACAAGATGCACATATGCGACGAAATTATCTCGCATCTTCAATTATATATATGATACATATATGTATATATATAAAAGTGAAGAGAAAAATAGATCTCACATAATCCCGATATTTCTTCGCTTTTGCTGGAGTCAAAAATAAATAAATTTCAATGTGTGTGTGTGTATGTGAATACCGCGATAATGTCCAAGAGGAATACAGCTGAGCGCTAATTGCAAAATTTTGTACTTATTCTAATTAAAGATGTTTTGCAATAACGTTAGCTTTTAATGGTATTTTTGGAACATAATTAGTACACGATTGAGACTGCGTTCGGAAACATCACCATGTGCACACGAGCGTCATTCTATCTTTGTTCGACTTTTATAGCGTTTTCGAATGTATCAAGTTTAATCGCTCTGAGAACGATTAATGACGTCATTGCATCGTCTCTGCCAATAAAAGGCTTGAATTCATAGTAAAATATAGTGATTAATTGATCCGGGTTGGATTAACCCGTTCATTCGAAAACGCTATTAATAAATAACAAAGATAGAACGACGCTCGTGTATACGCGAGTGTTTCCGAACGCAACCTAAAACGTCAACTATTCTATCGTTAATCGTACACGGATATCGTTACACGACACCGAATGACAATTACACATACTCTATACGTTACTCTCTAATTTTATATGATAGATTTTTAAAACGAAATTATAATAATATTTAGTCTTTACATAAAATGTCATGTTGTGTGATGTAAAACAATTTTGTCCTAGTGCATTTTTTAGCATTATTACAAATAGAAAGCTGGATAATTTTGAATGTTGTACAGCTCGTGTACAGCAAGTTTATCAGCTATTATTAACTTACTCTAGTTACATACTTATATTCGCATCCGTACCCCTCTTGGCAGTCGATTAGTAACTCTATCGAATTACAGACATAGGTATTGTCACGATCGCTACTTAAAGTGGCTAGTCATCGTGAGAGATTTGTCGATTGTTCGACGATTTCTCACGCAGCTCACCCGAGTTAGAGGTCTTAATTATACTAGAATGGAAAAAAGCCAACAACTCTTATCCAGATTGATCTAGCGATCACGATATTGCCGTGCGATCGATTCCATGTCCAGATTCGCTTGGAACGCAGGACGATCCGAGCACGTCAATGCTCGCTGTCAGTAAAATTCCGAGTCGGAACTATGTTGCGAGTCTACGCCATTTCGGTCATTCAGATACACCTCCGACGTTTGCTGAATAGATGACGAGTATTGCGTGGTTTCTCCATTTTGACCTGTATAACCAGGAACAGATTTCAATTTTATACCATTTGGATGTTTAAAAAAAACAATATAAGAAACATAAAAATATTACACATACCATGAGCGGCAAGAATAGTAGCTAAGCACTCGGCCACTGCCGGATTCGGGGCGCAGGCTAACGCGGGTGTAAGTCCTACGGCATCAACGGCCACGACACTGGCGCCTAATTGCAATAACCGACGAGTAATCTAGACAAAATAATATATTTCTCATAAGAAATCTGTATGTCACGATTATTACATTTGTCATATATTTACATGCAATATATTTAACTTACTGTTACGAGGCCATTCCTAGCCGCCAGATGCAGCGGCGTTCTTTGCTGTTTGTTGGTCATATTGATAATAGCCACTCGTTGCTGTTGCGATATGTTCTTGTCAACATCGGGGCCGCCAAGCGACTCGATCCAGTTTAAAAGCAGCGACGCCGCGGCAGAATGTCGTCTCTGGCATGCCAAGTGTAACGCCGTATTCTTACTGGAATCGACAGCACGTACATCGGCCTTCCACTCAAGTAGCAATTCTATCAGAATGCAACTCTTATTAATATGAAAGCGAAAGTGTATGTAAGCGCAACTTTATTGAAAAAAGTACGATCAGCAATTACCAATAGCGTTGCATTGTCCATTGACGGCCGCGCAAAGAAGCGGCGTCCGTCCAAAGTAATCAGTCGTTTCGAGCCCTGCTAGTTCCGGTCCGACTGAGTTTAGAATTAATCGCGCACACTCGACGGACCCGGCGCTGGCCGCGACGTGCAACAAGCCGCATGATGAATCTTTTGGAGCGACGACTGCTTGTCCGCCGAATTTGCTGATCAGCAAGTCTAAGCAATGCGCGGATCCCTGATACACAGCGCAATGTACCGCGGAAAACAGATTATCTGTAAGTAATCAAATATGCGATCCAATATTAAGCTGTTGTACTTGTTATATTAAACGATTTTCTTTATAATCCACGGAGAAACCGCTCACCTTCCAAGGAATCGTACACGTTATGATTCAAAAGATATTCGACGCAATTGGAGTTGCCGTTGTAACAGGCCCAGTGAAGCACCGTGCATCCCTGATCGTCCTTCAAAGCAGCCGCGGTCTGGTCGGCTTGAACGAGCGCTGCTAAAGCGTATAGTCTAAAAATAAATACTTGGAACATAAGATACACAATTCTAATAGGGCGAAAATAATTTCGTACAAACGTAATTTCTCTAACCTGCCACAAGCCGCTGCCAAATGTAACGGCGTTTTACCGTTTGCGTCTTGCACAGCCACTCGCGCACCGTGCTTCAATAGCAATTTCACCAGCTGATTATCTCGCTCGTTAATCACTGCCCGAAACAGCGGCGTGTGCTTGTTGACATCTGGCAAATTGCAGTCAGCCTTGTACCTTAGCAGCAGCATCGCGCACTCCGGATGATTATTCGCTACAGCCAGGGTCAGGGGCGTCCGTAGCTTGGAATCGTAACGATTCACCACGTTGGGATCGTCCGCGTTTTGCAGGAGAAGAGTTAGACAATCGGCGTGACCTGCCGCGGCAGCGCAATGTACAGGCGTACGTTTCATAACGGAATCCTGAAAACACGATGCATATTAATAGAAGTGCATGCAACATATGTTTAATGAGCAAAATATTCAAATCCTTACCTGCACTGACACCAAAGCACCAAATCGTAACAAGAGTTCGACACACTGTTTGTGTCCTTTGTAAGCGGCTAAATCTAATGGCGTTTTCCCACTGTCTTCCTTGATGTTCGTATCGGGGAACAGGGGTAGAAGCAATTGTAAGATTTCGTCGTGACCGTGATACGCCTGATAACATACATTTTACAAGTCAAGCATACGCGGCTTCGTATTTTGTTGAAGTCAAATGTTGTCAATTCTAATTTTGTGTGTATCTGTACCGCGAGATGAATCGGAGTGAGCGCAGGCAGAGGCGGCGGTTCCTGTCCGATTGTAGAACCTAATCCGGGCGAAGAAGCGGCCACATTTCCCGATGGCGACGGTGCATTCAAAAGTGCCTCCAGTGCCGCTTGATTGCCGCCCGCCACCGCATAGTGGATCGCGGTGAAACCTCGTTTGTCGCGTAACTGTGGATTCGCTCGATGCTGCAGTAAATACTGCACGCATTTGTAGGATCTACGGAATTACGATAAATCGTACACACAGATAATGCGGGAGACAAAGAGCCATAATGAAAAAAGAATGATTACTGACTCGGCGTTCGAATTCGACGCTGCTGCGGCAAGATGCAATGGCGTGGCGCCATTCACATCTTGAGCGTTTGAGTCGCTCCCGAAGCCGACCAGAGTGAAGACGCAAGGATAGTGTCCTTGACTCGCGGCGTGATGAAGAGCCAGTCGATTGTCGTTATCGACGAGGCGGAAGTTGGCACCGCTAGATAACAGCAAATCCAAGCAATCTACGGAACCCTATTCGGAACGTTCGCAATTTGTATTCTTCCGTGTGTGGTATGGTATAAATAATGCTTTTAAATAAAAGAAGATATTAAATATAATATTATCATTATTAAAAAGAGTTAGGAATAGATGCAACGCAGGCGTGCGCTCTTTACCTTAAATGCTGCCAAGTGCAAAGCTGTCCTGCCACCGATGTCTCGCGCGTCGATTCGTCTGCTATCGAGCTGCAGTAGTTTTCTACAGACCTATCGGATATAATAAAAACAATTCAAATTTTGAATTTAAAAAAACGTAACGTAGACTATGTCGTGACAAATTTTTGGCTCACTTCTATATGTCCGCCTAAGCAACTCAAATGCAAAGGCGTCCGTTGTTGCGCGTTGCGCGTAGCCGGAGATGCTGCGCTTTCCATTAAAGATGTTGTCAGGCACTCGAAACCGAACCTGTAATTTGTTCTTTGTATTCTTACGCATGCATCTTGCTTTATGTAATAGTGCGATATATAAAGAAAATATTAATATATGTGTTTTCCATAGACGATTTACCAGGCAGCGATATGTAAAGCAGTATTTCCATTCTTGTCTCTTGCATCAGGGAAAGCTCCTGCATCGAGCAACATTTTTGATCGCGTAAATCTTCCGTGGATCGCGGTCATGTGCAACGGCGTGCGGCCATCTTCCGATTGAACGTTTACCTTCAATCTCTCGCATATAAGCATCTTGAAACATTGAACACCGTGTACGCTGGTGGCGGCGATATGCATCGCGGTTTGTCCGCGATAATTCACGGCCTCTGCGTGTATCAATAAAATAGTTATTTCCGGTTACGTCAGGATGATTCGGTATCCTAAAAAATCCCGATTTAGATAACTCACCTAAATTCACGTGATTAGCCATGAGCGCCTTGATCACGAGGGGACATCCATTCAAACACGCAATATGCAGCGGAGTGTTTCCATACACATTCTTGGCCTCGATATCCGCGCCAGCGTTGATTAAAATACGCACGCATTCTACGTTACCAGAAGCGGCTGCTGCATGTAACGGGGTATATAAATCTCGATCCTTAACATACAAATGCAACATATATACGACATAATATATAACGTAAACCCCCCCCCCGACCCCCCTCCCCACCCTTCACAAGAATATTCTATCGAAAGTTTCGTGTATGTGCGTACTTTAACATCCACGTCAGCGCCTTTGTCTATGAGCACTTTTACGATCGCGTTGTGTCTCTGGTATGCCGCAAAATGTAGAGCTCTCCGGTCCTTCTTGTCAGAAGCATTTATTACACAGTCAAACTGCATCAGGTATTGGACCATTTCAAGATGCCCATTATATGCCGCATGATGAAGACACGTTCTTCCCCCTCTGTAGATTAATGATATAATGCGCGTTTATTACAAATAATTAATGCAATTGTAATTTATTTTTATACTAATTATATTAAATTATATACAATAAATAATACAAAGTACAAACCTATCAGTGACATTAATATTTAATAAGTGCGGTATTAAAAGTTCTACGCATTGCACAGCGTTATTTGCTGCTGCTACATGAAGTGGCGTCTGCCAACTACGATCTCGGGCGTTCGCATCTGCTTTATATCTCAGTAAAATGTCTACCACATTGTAATTGCCCAAACAACAAGCTCTGTGCAAAGGAGTTAACCATTTCTTATCTTTACTATTAGCTGCCGCACCATTTAACAAGAGAAGTTCTACAATAGCGGTATCTCCTCTGCAATATATAAATATAACAAACATTTTAAATAATTTAAATCATATATATATAACAATGAAAAGTAGTTTTAGTAGTTTTAGTATTTTGTTGATTGAGATAATGACCTATATGCTGCTGCATGTAAGAGGGAACGTTGTTCCTTGTCTTGCCAATTAACATCCTCTTGTTGTGATAGCAATATACGAACTGCTTCAACATGCCCGCGAAATATGGCCCGTAATAAAGGAGACTGCAAAAATATACAATTACAAAAATTTTGTAGATTTATATATATAATTATATGTTTATATATAAATTTTATATATATGTATGTAAAAAAGGAGAGAGAAAATATATATTTTGATTAAAGATATTAAGTAATTCTAATCACACACACAAAGCATTTTATTAAAGGCACTTGTCAATTTAAGAAAGGGAAAATACAATATATATTATATATATATATAACTGGAATAAGAGCAAGATGTAGGTCTGTTCATTCTAACTGCATTTTTATGCAACTCTTTTTTTTAAAATAAAGTCTAATTTATATTAAAATAAATTTACAGTAGAATTTAGAGATATATATATACAGATTTCAGAGCGAAAAAGATAGAAGATAAAAAATGACAGAAAATATTCTGATGACTAACATATACAAAGCATACAAATTTGACATAAAACAGTCTAACCTAAGCGAACGCTCGCGTGAGATCTTGAAGAAGTCGTCGTTTTAATTTAGTGAGAGAAACGCGGCGTACCTCGTCGTGAAAATCTTTGAAGACAGCTTCCTGTTGGTCAAGATTCATGTTGACGTGTGTCCTCGGGCTTTCCTCCTTTTTATAATCGTTTTCTTTTCTACGACAGCATCGTCACCTGATTACAAACGAGCGACACCGACGGCTAAGTGAGTCATCGGTTCTTCGTACTCCGGAATGACTCTCGCGGTTTTCGGCGTCCGTTATTAGGTATAACAGGATCGAGCTCGAGAGTCGAACAACTCGATCTCGCTCCTGGACAAGTTCAACGGCGAGCGACGCGCCGGGAGTGCATTTTATCGTTATGTTATTTATTACGCGCACGTGGTTGGGCTATCTCTTTGATGCGCTACTCGCTTCCGCCGCCATCTTCGGCTCCCAGCAAGCTTGTAAACAACGGCGACAAATTCGCGCGATATCGAGAGTTTGGATGGAGAAAGAAAGATATATGCAAAATGTATAAAGATACAAAAACTATAAGAGAAAATCACATGTTATTATAATCTTTTTAGCACATTTTATTTTAAATTTACTTATTTAAAAATTGCGATATGAAATCTTTATTTGGACTTATTTTAAAATTATTATTTGATTTTTTAATAAACAGTAAAATATTCAAATACACAATATTTCAGTATTTATAAAATATAATTATTACTAAAATTATTATTAAAATATAAATTATTACTAAAATTATTATTATTAAAAGTATTGTAAAATACTATTTTAAATTGCAGGAAAGATATATTAAGAAAGAATATATATAAAAATATATTATGTATTTGCGATTATCTCACAAAAAAAAAAAAAAGAAAAAAGAAATAAAGCAAATTTTCTTAGAAAATAAATGTTACCATTTCACAAAAGCGTTTTCATTATCGACGATTTCAAATATAATATTCCATAAAGTCAAACGCAACCTCGTTTCAATTTTATAAGTAATACAATTTAATTCTACAGAGATAATTATATTTTATAAAAACTATGAGATATATCAATAGAATTTTGTGTATATTTTACCGGTAATCTTTGTTAGTTACATCTGGTATCTGGTTCTACCGCCATGATGGTATTCACGTTCACGTGATCAGCGCCAACTGGAAATGCCGCCAAAATGCATGAAAGTTCGATGAAAGTCGTCTGCTGTCTGCTCCTAAAAGAGGCTGCAGCTGGACATGTTCCTTCAAAGCATTGCAGAAGCCAAAAATTTTAGATCATCTAAATGCAATCTACATCATCAGAACGATTAAGACATAAGTTTTTATTGCAAGTATGTGAAAAATGTTATTATATTTATTATGATATGTATTGGTACAATGCTACTATATGATAAATTATGTATTATGCTATATGTGTAATAATAAATATACTAATAAATCATCTGATAAAAGTTTTACAGATGGATTTCGATGTTATTTTTGACTGCAGCGGTAAGGTGAATATCAATGATTGGCAGTTGAATAAAGGTGGTCTATTACGTCACAACGAAATAGACAATGTGCTTTTTCCACAAACCGACTATCCCTTTGCCTATACAGAAGTAAAGCTCTTTGATTGTGTCATGCCTGGAGCTGTGGCTGTGATGAATCTTGGACATTTTACTGATTGCATGGAGTAAGTACATATTTTTTAATAAAATATTGTTATGTGTTATCTCTTCATTATATTTATCCAAAGCTATTAAATAAAATTGTTATAATTTTATGTTAGATGTATATAAGTTTTTTTATATTGCAGGATGCAATTAAAAATATTGAACAGATTTGAAAAATCAGCTACAATATCTAAATTACACAATAATGATAATGTAAATTACCTTTCTATTAGGAAAATGATTTGCGAATTTATTTTATATGTTCGTACATACATGAATAGGTAGGTGGAAAATTTTTATTTCTGCAATATTTGGAATTAATAAATCATAAATGATAATTAATAAATGACTCACTTGTTTTTGATATTGCAGCATAAAATGGGATCTCAGTGCATTAGAAATGGTAATACCTGAAATAAATAAAGATGTAGACATTTTATTTGACTCCATAAAGCGCTTTCTTAATACGCTACACGGTATGCCTGATTCAATTCTACACTGTGCTGCTTCTAATATAGGCAATAAGGTAATTAATATATGTATCATCTTTTTAAATAAACAAAAACGATAAGATATACAAAACTAATATAGTTATTTACATTTCAGTGTAATCAAATAGAATTTCACTTGTATCATATGCATATAGAGTTAAGATGGTTTTTTGTTACATTGATATATTCAAGAACTATGTGGTACCAATATCAGACGCATACATTGTTAGAAGAATTTGAGAATACTATCGAAATGGTCATTGATGATCTTGTGCACTTTGCTTTAAAAGTATTTGAAAGGGTAATAAAAATAATATGTGTAAATTCAACTCATTTTTGTAATAACATTGATATATTATATCTAATGTTCATTTTTTCATTTTTAGTTACCCTCAAACTGGAATATGAATCTTACACAAAACTCACCATATTGCTGCACATGCACACGAGAATTGTGGCTCATGCTTCAAATATTTATTGATAGCTTAGAAGAAAGGATGAAAACCAAGGTGAGCTATTTTAATATACAATTTTGTAAATATACACGTTCTTATATTATAATTAAATAATTTTAGATATTTTGGGATCATGTAAATAGTTGTATTAATAGAGTATTAAATAAAGATCGGACCCAAAAAATATTTTGGCACAGAGGCATGGACTCCTTTCCGCCAGATTGTAAAAATCCCGAATTATTTTGTATCTGGATAATACATCACTTGTCTTTGTTATATGGATACAGTACAGATGGTGTATATTTGCAATATAATTCACCCAGGGTAATATACAACACGCACTAACAAAGATTGAATTTTACAAAAAAGAAAAAAAATATATATCTATATATAATATGTTATCATTTACAGATTAAATCCAATTGTGAACAAGTTGAAAAGATTCTAAAAATATACGTGTGTAAAGGTGGAAAGGATGGTGAAAGGGACGAGTTTGATACTGAACTCAAAATCATAATATTACTGTTGTATGATCTTATTATTAATTGGTGGCAACCGCGAGTCTCAATAATATCTTTTCTTTGGGACTGTTTCCATAAAAGATTGAATCAATCATTCTTATTACAGACTTCTGGGCCCTGGGCTTTATCTTTTGAAAAGTAAATATATAAGTGATTTTTGTATATAAATTTATAATTGCAACTATATAATTAGATATATAATTACAAAATTATTTTGTAGAAAGACTACTGCGGATATTTTGAAGCAAATTAATGACAGAATTTGCGGCAAATTTGAACATTCTAAGGAATCTAGCTATGGTATATTCTTACACTTAGTAGGTGAGTTCAGTTGGAATTTTTGGTCTGCGCATTGATACAGTTGAAAATTAATCAATCTTTCACAGGCACGTTTTTAAAGAAACATGGCAAAACGGATCCGAAATATTGGAATCAATTTAAAGGACGTGTGTACACAAAATTTTCAAAAAACAAAATTGCAGAATTGTCTGAGAATGGTCTCTATAATTTTATATCCTTATTTATCACTTTAGCAATTACTGCAGATGTTACAAATGTTGTAAGTTGAAATATATATGTGATTGCTGTCAATTAGATATACATTAACAGTATCTGTATTAATATTTGTTTTTTTTTTCAGTGTACAACAATGCTAGATCTTTTGCCATCTACATATGAATTAAATGATGAATACAATAAAAAGAGCAATTTAATTTGGAAAGGGAAATTAATATGTCTCTTATTGTTTAACGAAAGAAGATTATCTCTTGCCTCTATAGCCAGCTATTTTACAGAAACAGTATGTGGTATTCTAGAGTTTCTACAATATATATTTATACACATGAAGATTATATAAATTTAGTAAAAGAGAAATATTTCTCGAATTTTAGATCAATTTGATAAGTTGTCGTAAAGATGAAACATCTCGTTCTATGATGACCAGTTTTGTTGACGTTTTAAATACAATTTTATCCAACAATGACAAAATGGATTTAGGAGAGCATTATTTCATTGGTGGTTGGATTGATCGTTATCTCTTGGAATGTCCAAAGAATAGAATCGGATTTTTACTAGAAATGCTCGCCAATGTTTTTAATAAATGTATTATCTTGCAAGTTTCTTGTAACAATTCGGTTGGTATGTCTATATTATTATTATTTTAAATAAAACATTATAATTTTTTCTCCAGATATATTTTATAATTCAAGAGAAAAAGAGAGGGGAACATGAAAACATAAACACTTACTAAGGCTTGTTATAGATGGTGTCAGGAAAATGTTAGATGCACTATGGTGTTTTGTTGCTTGTAGAATTCGCCAACTTGTCTTTGATCCCATTCTTATCGGTGACAATTATAAAATTATTTCCAAACTAGCTGTCATATTTACATTAGAAGCAGTTAGAGAGCCAGCTACTGCTAAAAAATATAAGCACTCAGCTATATCTTTATTTCAACATTTTGCTGCATCAATATTTTTGAAAGATATAAGGTAAAAATAGTTTATCTAAAAATTAGTACCTGAATATATATATATTTCAAAAATATAATAACATTATCTTTTCAGAATTACCCAATATTATTTAGTATCTATTCTTGAGAATGAACAAGCTGTACAAAGCTTAAAAAAAGAAATTCCAAATTTCGATATTATTCTTATCCAAGTTCGTATATACGTTTGTTATTATATATGCATTGTAAAGCAACCAATGAGTAAAATATATATGTGTTATAGGCTTGGATAAAATGTTCTATCATTGGTCATGGCGCAGACAAGAAAGAAATAAAGATTCTGCATAATTACATTGCTGATTTCAATGACATCAAAGAAATATTCGTGTCGGATTATGATCTGCATGAATTTAAAAATAATGATGAACCTATTTTGACATTCATAATATCACTCATGAAGAAGCAGAATGCTTTAGAGGTATTTATTTTTATAGATATGATATGTATCAGTACCTATAATCAGAAGCAAATTGATACAATTGAAGAATTTCTGTAGTCTGTACAGGAAAAATTTCAATATAATGCAAAATGTAAGATGTACTTCAAAAATGTAGAGAAATGGGCCTTGCTACCTATAATAGAGGAAACGAAAGATTCGGAACTTGCATTTTGGATTTACAGATGCCTCGGAACATTGATTCTCTGCATTTCTCCGATGTTGTATACTAAAGTATGTAATCTAATAATTATTAAGATTCATATCTTTTAAAAAATCTTACTTTTACAGAATCAACCAAACGATATGCTAAGAACGCTTATTAACAAAATTATCTTAGTACCCGAGAACTCTATGCATTCATATATAAAACAATTGGGTAAAAAAATATTCTCGATGATAATACTCGGTCTGGAAAAATTAAATGTCAAGGGTGACATATTACTGCAAGCAATGATCAGAGATATCTTTGATCAATATTTGCCAATTCTGATAACTGAGATTAACAGTGGTTGCAGTTTTAAAGTTTCGGACATGTTGTTAAAATGCTTTAAAGAAGCAAAACCCGAATTTCTGCGTTCGATTTTCGAAATGCTCATGTCGAATTTTTACAATATATCATCTGACAATGTCATGCACAAACATTCCAATTTGGTATGCAGAAATTATTTTTATATATCAATGTGTGGTTGCAAATATATTTATTATACATTCACACACACAGATAACGTGGCTTATAAAAACATTACTTAAAGAAGGAAGAAGATATCCTAAATATATCGCAGAACACATTATTCAAGTTTGTTCTCCAAACATTTTTGGATGTTACATGAAGATTCAAGATCATTATCCGCATAAGCTGCATACAATTGACTTTATTAATGATGTAATTAAAAATCCTTACTATGAGGAAGATAAATTGATCAGGTGAATAAATCTCAAAATATATTAAATTAAATTTCAAATCATCTTTATAATTAGTCGTCATATTTTCAGAGATAAATTCCAGAGCGCCATTTCTGCTGCAGTGCAAAAGTATTTGACACTGAATACACAATTTACGTTTGAGTTTATGCGATCTGTCCTATCGATAAAAAAAAGTATTATAATCAATTTGTTCCCGCAAATTGAAGCCATTATCCTCCATGCAGAACAGTTCCATCGACCTAATGCAGTATCCTTGAGGTTAGAATAATGATAAGTTTCTAAACAAAATATAATAATGCCTTTATGTAGCATGATGGAGATAAAAAACTATTGTAATTTTAGATTCAAATGGAATCAACTGAAAAAACACATGCTGAATATGGACGATAATTCGTGAAGATTACACAAGTATATTGATAAGCGTTAAATCTCTAAATAATGAAATGATTTAAATCCTCTAGATTTTCACATTAGATATTAATTAACTGGTATCTGAATTTAACAGATCCAACTATTCCAGTGTACACAAAAACGCATAAACGATTTGCATCAAATGGCTTCATTGAGATATGAAGCAAAAAAGTTTAAATTACATTGCTATATCATACTTAAAATAAAACTTACGTCAAAGTATAAATATAGTAAAGTAAACTGTAAATTATTGTCATATATATTATAGAAATACCTCAAATAATTATCAGCTGTGATACATATGCAATCATTCACTTAAATAACTGGTAATCATATTGATCCTACCATGAGGTAGAAAAAAGTGGAATTTACAAACCGTTAAAAACAAAATTTTTTTTGCTACTTTCGATGTGAATGCCTCGAACGATGATGTTTCAATGACGTACTGCCCGGAGGCGATTGTCATCCAATTAACTCTAGACGAGACACAGCATTGCGTACAGCATTACGTAGACTTTGTTCGACGTTACCGCTCAATAACGATTCCAGCCTCTCGAAGTAATTGTCGATATTTTGTAATGTAGCACCGTCATGCGTGCCTGTATGTGCGAAAACAAAATAAATATATAAATAAAATATAAAATTTTTAAATAAAATCGCCGCTTAAATTTTATCCTGAAGAAACTCGCCTGGAAGCGGTATGGTAGCGAAGCAGCCTGCCAATTGCGAACGAAGAGAATCCAAATTGCGCTGTAGAGCTTGATTGTTCGTTCGTTGTTGATTAGTTTCGGATTCCAAGCGATTCACAGCCGCATGCAGACTGTCGACGTGTCGCTGGAGAACTGCATTCTGAGATTCATAGTCGGACGTAGCTTTCCGCAATTGTCTTAATTCAGCCTCACAGGCTATACATTTTTGTAATGGATATTTTTATTAATTTTATTATTAAATTTTTTTTATTTTATCGACTACATATTTATGCTAGCAACATTTTACCTTTGTTGTGATCCAGAAACTCTTCTGTAAAAATAGGGATGTCAAAGCCTGTGAAATCATTGTCCTTATCTTGCTGGATGTCCTAAACAAAGTTTTCATTAGCATTTTCTCTCTTCTTTGCACTAGAAATTAATCTTAAATATAATGTAACAATATTATCATACATTCTGCTCAACGTTTACATCAGTGCCATTTCTTTCCTTCTTATTTTCATTTTGTCTCTCTGATTGTTTTTCATTGAACAACCGATATGCTTCTGTTTGCTTATAGTTGTTAAACTCGCGATTGTAGCGCTCCTTATCTTGTTCAGCTGCATCCAAATATTGCTGCAAATATTATATTATAATATATCATTATATTATAGAGATGCAATAGAAAAGATATAACAAGGAGGTACAAACCTGTTTCTGATCACCTGGTAATTTACTCCACTCCGAAGCCAGAAGCTTTGTAATCTCTGTGAATGTTAAACTCGGATTTTCGTTTCGAACTTTCTCTCTCCGGTCGTTTAAAAACCTATGCATTATATTCCATTAAAAACAGAGTAATTTAACATATAATCTAGATATTTTCAGGTATAGTCATTACAGGAAATAACCACTCAAAGGTTGTTTCGGCGCAGTGGCATCTCTTGGAGTCTTCTTGCGTTTTTTTGTTCTATTTGGTGCATTACTATTGCCAGTGGCAATAGCATTCCTTTTTATACCATTATCACATATCGAATCCGGTGCTTTCTCTTCTGTACTTACTGGAGACTTAGCTAACAAAATAAAGAGTACAAAAAAATTATTATCAATTGTTGTCATAGAACACAAGTTAAATCACATAAATCGTGCTTACCAGCATGCTCTTCTGCCTCGCCATTGTAAGCAGACTGCTCCATTGCACCGTTGCTCTCAGGTATATCATTTGTTGGAGTCTCGCTCATTTTTTATAATACAATACTATTTATATGTGATGCTGATTTGATAATAAAAACTATCTTATTGATCTTAGACAATGTCCATTATATATCCAAATCAAATTTTTATATTCTGCAACAATGTATAAAAAAATTATCCATTTTTAGGCAAAATTATATAAAAAATATTATCAATGGAAAAGTTCTTTTAAAAATATATGACATATATCACTCATTTGAGAATTGCTGAGAAATAATATATTAAATGAACTATGAATATTAACCTTTAGCCGATGATGCACTGCAAGGTTAAACTGTAGAATTAATTAGTATCTCATTAATAATAAAGACGACATTGCATTGTGTACGACGTTCGTTATCAATTGTAATCATGCCAAATCGCACTTTTCTATTGAAAAAGAGGATTGCTAAATAGGTTAGGTTAGGTTAGGTATTCATTAATGGATATCTATCCTATACTACGCTTTTTTTATAATTCTTACTACAATGTTTTTGTTATTTTATATTCTTCGTATTAGCGAGTTTATTTTCCTCACAATGATAATTACGTTTGAATATATACGCACTAATGACAGGTAAAATACAATAAAATGGCTCGAAAAATATACAACACAGAGATACGCGACATGCGATCTGCAAAAATACTAAAGCCAGTTTTTCATGCATCGAAACGTCAGCTGTCCAATAACATCGCGTAGTAAACGTGGCTTTAAATTGACAAATTGAGACTAAATTGATAGATATATATTGAAGAAACAAAGAGATGTAAATTGAGTTTAAACACAGAATTCCAAGTTACTTACATTCCTATAAAATATGTCAATTTTTTTATAATGAGTTCCTGAATATGTAATTGAAAGCTATCTCGATACCAACCAATGAAAGGCGGAGCTTGCCGGTTAGTTGCCGGTGGCCGGTGTGTACAGCTGTACAGTTCGGCGCAAAATGTCATTCGGCACACGTGTGTGACCAGTTGGAAGGAGACGTCAACGGTGTCGGTGGATGTGTTTATGGAGAAAATCCTTTATTTTTCCATCGTATAGTTTTTAGATTTTATCGCAACAGAATGGAGTACATTTACCGATTACCGTTCTTAGTCCTGGAAGTGCCTAATTTAAAATTAAAGAGACCGTCCTGGTTCGTGAAACCTAGTGCTATGATAGTCTTCTCCTTCATTCTTCTATCGTACTTCTTGGTAACGGGAGGTTAGTTACTTAAACATCTTGATTTTTGAAAAAATCATATTTTTATACAACTTATTCTTTATTATTTAAATTTTATAATTTAAAAATTTTTATATATGTATTAGAAAAATGTTAAAAAATATTTTATGTATTAGCAACTTTTTAAATAAAATTTAATAACATTTTTTTAATGTTGAACACATGTTTTGTAGGAATCATATACGATGTAATTGTTGAGCCACCCAGTGTAGGATCTACAACAGATGAACATGGTCACACAAGACCTGTAAGTTGACTGAATTTTTATTTTTAATAATTAGGTTTTTCTAATTTTATCAATCAATGTGATCCTTGCAGGTAGCATTTATGCCATATCGTGTAAATGGACAATATATCATGGAAGGCTTAGCTTCTAGTTTCTTATTTACAATGGGAGGTTTGGGTTTTATCATATTGGATCAGACTCATGGTCCATCAACGCCAAAACTTAACAGAGTTCTTCTGATATGTGTTGGATTTCTCAGCATACTTGTGTCGTTTGTTGCATGCTGGATATTCATGAAAATGAAACTTCCGTAAGATATCATATTTATATTTTGAGATATATTTTTATATATGTATTAGAAAAATGTTAAAAAATATTTTATGTATTAGCAACTTTTTAAATAAAATTTAATAACATTTTTTTAATGTTGAACACATGTTTTGTAGGAATCATATACGATGTAATTGTTGAGCCACCCAGTGTAGGATCTACAACAGATGAACATGGTCACACAAGACCTGTAAGTTGACTGAATTTTTATTTTTAATAATTAGGTTTTTCTAATTTTATCAATCAATGTGATCCTTGCAGGTAGCATTTATGCCATATCGTGTAAATGGACAATATATCATGGAAGGCTTAGCTTCTAGTTTCTTATTTACAATGGGAGGTTTGGGTTTTATCATATTGGATCAGACTCATGGTCCATCAACGCCAAAACTTAACAGAGTTCTTCTGATATGTGTTGGATTTCTCAGCATACTTGTGTCGTTTGTTGCATGCTGGATATTCATGAAAATGAAACTTCCGTAAGATATCATATTTATATTTTGAGATATATATACATAAATTGTTATATAAATAATTTTTTTTATATATATTTTTAGGGGGTATCTGCAATCCTAAATAAAAATTATATTATGTGAATTCCATGAATATATTGTGAACACCATTTTTATATCATATTATATGGGATATCGTTACAATATACAAGATATTGTAACAATTATTGATTGATGATTTTTATAATAAAGTGTAAGAAGTAAAACAAAAGATAATTTTAATATTATCATTAATTATTAATATAGGATAAGAGACATATTACAACTCTCCTTTAAATATAT